ACCTCCCACTTTCTAACTTATATGAGAACCAGGAATGTTTCCTCGGGGTAAAGGGCGGTCGGTAGGCGCGTAAGGCTGACAACCTTACCGCCTTCTGCGAGCCGATTGTCTAGGGAAAATGTGGGAGCCTCTACGTCTTACAACCATATGAGCCTCCACTCTCTGTTGCAGGGACAGCTGTACATTTAACTCATAATATAAACAGTCTAACAATCAACACCGTACACGGTTTTCAGTTTTGTATCTACTTGACTTTATTTATAAAGATCGTAAAGAAACACTACTGCTGACAGTATTGCATTTATCCCTTGCTTCGATACGACCAATGTGACAAGTTACGAGCCGATACAGCTCAGTCAATATAGTGACTGGCTATTCCCATCAGAAGCAATTCTAGACCGACTGTGGGCGCTACGCAACCGCATTTCCAGCAGATCCTAGGTTTTCCCCCTGTCAGTTCATCAATCTCGCCTCCGTATAATGCCGAGATTAAGAAAAAGTGGGAAGAGACCTCAACTCCCCCCATACATCTTCTTATCCTTGCATTTTAGAACAGGGGCAAATATACATTAACGGTTACCAACTGTGTCACTTAGTGACGTCATATCCTGGTGAAGGGGGAAGAAATTGTCCCTGAAGCGTCGGCAATTTTAACAAATTGACATGGCTGAGGGGATTTGTTTATTTATTAACTTTACCCCACTCGAAACTTCAGACCTTACAAAGAATTTATTTTCCTATTTAATGATGTACTTAGATTCTTACATATGGTAGTAAAGTGTATTTAAATATTAATTTCTGGTTTAGGGTAAAACAAAATACGAAAATAACGCTGTGGTAGCGGAAGCCGAGTGTTTACGAGCCCAACGCAACAGATCGGACACAATTCTGCCCTGGTTCCACTCAGTTGTATCCTTTTAACTCATCTCACTGACATCCACTTACTCCGTCTTCGAAGATTCTACTTCCATTATAAAATCACAGTCAGGGTCAGAATTATTTTACGACTGTCGGTTTTACCACCAATCAGTTTGTCTTGGGGACAGGCTCCTTGAGACTTAAAACCAGTATTTTTTAACTGAAAACTTGCCGTCGTAATCATGTGACTTCCTCTCTGATGACAGGATGTGTCTGTCTTTTACAATTGCTGCTGGCCCTCATCAGCGCAGTCATTCTCACATCAGAGTCCCGAGGGGTTCGTGATCACATTTTACTGTCTCATGTTCGAGACTCCCCCAACCTGGAGGGCTACGTTCCTTATTTGTATCACCCACCAACCGAGTGACCCAATTATACTCCCAGGCACTGAGTTCACTACTCACTGCGCCCTACGACCCGCAGGGCTACGATGGAGGTATTCGAACCCGTCTCCACGCGGGCTTTATAAAATAAAATATTTGACTTGTTATTTTGTAACTCTGGGATTGACTCTTACTTACCACATTCGTTTTCTGTAATTATATTTCCATGATGTATAATTTCCAATGCTGAAGAGGCTGCGCACTGCAGAAGGTGTTGCCGCTACTGATCTTGGCATAGAGCTGACGACCTCAGAGGAGAGGATTCAATGATTGAAAACGAAACATATGTTTCCTGTGACTAATATGTTTGGACGTTTCTCGTCGGTACAGTTTCTTTGAAGCAATTCTTGCAGCCTCGTTCTGTTTCCTTCCCGATAACAACAGGACAAAATAAGAAATCCTCTTGTTTCTTCCCTTGACAGAGTTTGTCTCAAGCCCTATTATATCTCGATTATTGTACGAAATGCCTAACGATAAAAATGCTTTTCGGATTACACGCTTAAAAACTCAATGTGAAACTGTCCGTTAACACCCAAAATGGCGAAGACTGTTGTGGAAACCTACAGAAGCCGATACGACGGGCCTCTTGGCATAACAATTGAAGGACTGATGAAGATGATCTTCAGCAGCATCTCGTGGAAAGTATGAGTACTAAATGTGCAGCCATAGTTAATTCTGTTGTATTCTATATAATTACAAAAATAAACAAAATTACAATTTAAAATAAATATTTTAATATATTTCGTTACCCATTAACATAAAATACAGCACGTAACATGAACAAGAGAAAGCATTTACAAGAAAAAAAACAAGTTTTAAAGCACCGACAATATTTATCATTTAATTATTGATGGACAAAATACAATTTCGTATAATTTGATATCTGTGCGTTGAACACGCAGAGTGTATATTTGTCTCTGCTTCAAGTCCGTTTGCCCCCCCCCCAATACTATTCCATACCTCAAGTAAGAACTTACTGAAGAGGGTTTCGCAGTTTATCGATGTTCAATGGTGTACTTGTACCCCATTAGATGTATTGTATTTAACTCGTAAATAAATCAATGCAAATATGAAGTTGGTAAGAACCAGCGTCATGCTGGAAGCAAAGAAAGTGCAGAGGAGCTGAGATATTCAGATGATTATGATGATAACTATGACCTTATTCAAAGTGATAATGACACTGATTCCGAGACCGGAGATGTCAGCAAAACAGGCGGCAGTGTACAGTGCGCAGTAGATGATGGAGTGACAGGAAGTTACGTTTTGTGAAAAGATGTGACAAAATGATGACGATTATATGTTCTCACTGATGTAAAATTCGAACCTACAACATCATCAGATATTCCAGGTTGTTTTTGAGGCAAGAAAACAGCAATCAGCCCATCTGAGTGCTTTACACAGCTCATTTCTATGTCATGGCAATTTCAGATGTATATTTATATATATGGAAATATGTTGTTTCGAGTATCTCATGCCCTAAATACCACAAACTTGACTTCTTTTACTGTACCGCTGAGGGAGTTAAGGATGAAATGTCGTACTTAATTTTGCTCACACGTTTCTTACTTTCATCATAAGATTCTTCTGTCTTGTGAAGCTGTTTGTATGAAGAACGGAAAGAATGACCTGATGTACATTAGTAATGACCTCTAAGTACAGATGTGTTGACAATTAATGATAAATTAGAGGAACAATATTTCACATACACACTGGTTCCTTTTATCTGTAACCACATTCATTACCTGTATTAGACATTATCTTCTGATTGTGTAAAGAATATAAACAGGCAGCAATACTGCCGAATATGATAGTCACATTTCGATTGCCCATCTTTACTGTGTGCACTTATCCGGCTTCAAACTCATCCTGCTAAAGCATATTAATCTATAAATCGATAAGGGACAAATCACTCATCTGTTATAGAAACCAATAATAAAAAATAGCTCCATTGTTTACCGACCTACCCAAATCCTATCCACCTCTCACCCGCACACCCTACAACACTAGCATCTATTTTCAAATTATTCTCCCACGTCTGCTTTGGTCTTCTTAATGTGCGCTTTCCAAGATTTTTCTCACAAAAATGTTATTTTAAGATTGTGTGCGGGGATAATATTAAAATGGATGTTAGACAGGATGGGATGATATGGATTGGATTTATGTGGCTCAGGATAGGGACCAGTGGAGGGCTCTTATGAACATGGTAATGAGCCTTCGGGTTCCATAAAATGCTGGGAAGTTGTTGAGTAGCTGCACAATTGTCAGCTTCTCAAGAAGGGCTAACTCCATAGTGGTTGGGCCTTCTGATATATGACCCTGTGTAATTTGGTAGAGTGGTGCAAATGTTTGGAAGGAACCTGTTGCGCTTATCGTCGGGCTAAAAGAATAGGGCGAGAGGGAATACGGGACTCGGGCTGTGAGGGAGAGAGCGGGAACTGTTGGCCTATAAACGGGGCAGAATGTTACGGGTAATCCCCGCGGCGCCTTCCCCAGGAAACAGATCAGTATCGCCTTGGAAATCAGAAATTAATTTCATGCAGTCCTTCTGAAAATATGCTGGTGGCAGAGAAGTACATATGCACTTTTTTTTCTGAAACTCTTATTGTTTTTTCTGCTCAAGTTTAACTTCTCATACAAACATTTGCAGAATGTCTTTCTTATGGTTGCAATTTATTGCGATCATATAATAAACTTATTCGCCAAATATAGTTTAAATTATTAATTCACTTAAAATGTCGTACAAAATGCTTTTATTGTATAATGATTGGCTTTAAGTGCTGGAAGATGGACCATACTGTGGCTTTTTGGCCGAGTAATTGTCAGCTGTCTTCTTGAGGAGTCAACAATAGCTTAGTGCTGCTTTAAGAATCTGATTAAATTTCAGTTATGATATTGACAGTATAACTGATCTTATTCATAAAAATTGCTGTCGATAAGCTTGTAGTTGAATATCACTTGAAGAGTCCCTTCACTGCCCATTGTTACTATCGAGAACGCAACAGAACTCCATGAAGTGGCGTCACTCCACGCAACTCTTACTAAGTAAGAACGTTATAACAAATAAGCTGTGTGAGGGATATGTGTGCATTCGAACACACAACACACGCCATAATCCACAATAAACACATTTTGATGCTATGGTTACGGCAAAATGTATGAAGACTACGTACTCATTGTCGTCACGATCTGAATGTTTACCTTATTGAGGAAAGAATGAACCGAAATTGACTTGGACCTGAACCCATACTCTTAATGGTAAATAACATTTCAGTCGGGATTATCTTTTCAGGAGGAGCGTCGTCTGTCTTTAAGCTTTCTTTTTATTTCGCGCTGAGTGGATGGAAAGGAACGTTTGGCTTTCATATACGCGTACGTTCAGTGTAGCAATAAAATAAAAAAGGAAACAAAAATCACAAATCTACCTCAAATGGAAAGTATATTAAAGACGTAAAGCACGCATTTTTGCAGGATATCCTCCTTAGGAACAGTCAGTTGTGAGCGGCTGTGTTTTCTGCATGGTCTGTGCCGGTAGGTGATAAAGGTGAAAGTCGTTTGAGTGAGGTGCTGAGAACTGGGGTGAGTACTGGAGATGGCAGGCGAAGGTGATTGAGAAGAAATGGCAAGAAAGGAATTAGACTGTGAAAAGAAGACTTCATATGTGAGTCGAAGTTACAGTGAGACCGTTATAAATCCGTTTCCAGGATTCGACTACTGAAGACTGAGAAACTTTATGCGTGTGTAACGGTGAATTGTAAAGTGTGTAGATGAGCGATAGCCATGTAACTGCCTGTAGTCCCAAGTTGTGTGTATAAGGTGTCACTAAATATAATCATCCAATCCAAAACCCGTCTTATAAGTCACGCACAAACTCTCTTACACGTGACAATATTAAAAGGGACAATAGAGAAGTATATGTGAGAATATAAATGGGATTGAAATGACCCTCAACCGTGGCTAGTGACGGCTTTAGTATCGACGGCGACGAACCTAGAATTTCAGTTCGTTCCCCAGAAATGGTGCTGTTCACTATGTTCTCGAAGGTCCGGCAAACGTGTCCTACTCCAGATTCGAAATGTTATTATTATTGAGAAGAATTCTGCAACCGAAATGCTCCTATACTACGTACATGACTGTCACGATCATGGCACACACAAGAAGTATAGCTGCCTCGCTTCACATGAAAGAGTACACAACGTGTCCGTTTCACCTCATCTCACGTTACATGCACATCACACACACGCTCTTTACATATATGCCTTACGTTTAGAACGGTACAGTCCCCCACAAAACATCTCTGTACGTCCAAAGCTTAATACAGGCATACCTTGGCAATATTGCAGGCTTGGTTCCGGATCACAGCAAAAATGCGAGTCACACGAAATGTTTGGTTTCCCAGGGCATATAAAAGTTATGTTTACATTATACCGTGGTCTATTAAGTGTGTAATAGCATTATGTCTAGAAGCAATGTACGTACCTTAATTAAAATACATTGTTGCTGAAAAATTCTAACTATCATCTGAGCTTTCAGCGAGTCTTAATCATTTTCTGATGGAAAGTCTTGTTTCGATGTTGATGGCTGCTGACTGATCAGGGTGGTGGTTGCTGTACGCTGGGGTGGCTGTGGCAATTTCTTAAAATAAGACAACAATGATTGTTACTCTTCTTTTCACGAAAGATTTCTCTGTAGCGTGCGATGCTGTTTTATAGCAATTCACCCACAGTAGAACTTCTATCAAAACTGGAGGCAGTCCTCTCAAACCCTGCCGCTGCTTTATCAATTAAGTTTATGTAATGTTCTAAATCATTTGTTGTCATTTCAACAAAGATTATTTCATCAAAGATCACTGATCGTAGATCACTATAACGGATAAAAGTTTGAAATATTTCGAGAATTACCAAAGTGTGATTCAAAGACAGGAAGTGAGCACAAGCTGTTGCAAAAATGGCCCGATAGATTTGCTCGACGCAGGGATGCCACAGATATTCAATTTGTATAAAAAAAACTGCGAAGTGCAATAAAACGAAGCGCAATAGAAAGAGGTATGCCTATATCATGGTACACTCTCGACTATCCGTTTTCCTAATTGTCAATGCTTATTTCTGTTTTCACTGTCATTGCTTCTGGTAGGCCTACTTATGAACCAACGTTTCGTCTGTCAGCCTTCCAGCTGTACTCCCATGCCCATCATCCCAAGTAAAATATTAATCCCTAACATACTGTAACCGTTCCACTGAAGTGCTGCCTATGTAAAGATGATTAATGCTATTAATTTGAAATTTAATTGTTCGAATGTAAGGACAGGAACAAGATAGTGAGACACAGGTCCATTCTTGTATTTACGAGTCCATTCTTGTACTTTAGAGTTAGCGTCTTCCCACGCTTACAGCAGAAACAGGGAGATAACCGTTGAGGATTTATTAGCGGAAAGTTACGTAAAGAATAGCTAAAGAACTCTTTTGTGAATTCTTTACTTGACATTTTCTACAGGTCATGATTTAAAAGAGTGAAGTTTTTAGGACCCAAGCGACGCTTAAGCATTTGTCAAATTCTGACAGAAATACTTTGGAGTTAGAAAACCTTAAACCCTTGTAAGCGTTAAACGGAGTTGAGGAATATCTAACTAAGATACTCGTATTTTTCAAATATAACCAATCACCAAAATTTAAGGGTGTGACAGAGCAGAGACAATGAGGAAACAAGGACTTGAAGGTCCGAGTAGAAATCAGTTGTCGAAGTCAGTCGCACACCGGGCTCCGTAGAAACTAGACGCAGAAAGGTCCAACACCAGACTCAGTAGAGACCAGACGTGAAAAGTCACACACCGGGTTCCGAAGCAATCAGACACGAAAAAGGCTAACACCGGCATTAATAAGAAAGAAGTAAAGTCTCATATTCCGCCTTGAGTAAATCAGATTTATAAGTTACTCGCCGGATTTCAGTTCAAAGCGGTGTAATTCTTGAATAAGCCAGAAGAAAAGTTATACTGGTGTTATTCAATTAGACGGTGTTAAGGAGTTGACCGAATCAAGTCTGATAGTAATCAGTTAAAACCCTGAAAGTGGTTTAGTTAAATAAGTAGCATAAAACAAGTGTCTCTTAAATGATAATAATAACAGCATTTAAACCTAATACGAGTATCTGCTTTAATCTACAACAAGAAATAAAAGTGTCGCTAGAAGTGTTTAGTAATGAGAATAATAATACCTCTGAATGTGATTGTGCTTTGGTTGTCTGTGCTTATTTTCTGCTTCTTTGAGTGTGACCCGTTAAGACTCTGAGAAAGAGGATCTAGCTCTACCGAACCAAACCACCTCACCTATTCAAAAATCAAAGAACCCTGAGTTATAAATATAGTACAAGAAGGAAGATCATAATTAAGAAGAAACCAATAAGGTAGGTGAGAAGGAAGAAGTACAATTAAAAAGTGGCGTTACAAGAGGAGCTGACTGAGAGGAGTGTTAAAATACTTATTATTTTTTACACAACAGCGTGGATGTGTTGGGTAGGAAGTCTTCGTGCATCTTCTGTGTCCTTCGATTATTCTTACATTCTCCGAGGTCACTCATCAACGGATAATAGACAGTGTACCATCATGTTCCATGAAGCACAAATTCACCAGCAAAATCAGACTCTAATTCAGCCTTTGTTGCAGAAGACCACCATATATATCCAGTGATATACAGTATGAGAACAAAGGCGATTCATAATATTTATAACACATATAAATGCAGTATCTTAACGCGTAATAAACTACATGTAGCGGTAAGATACAGCCAGAGGCACAACATTTCAATAATTCACACTTTTATATTTGGCTGCCACGTCTAAGAGGGCAGACATTACATATGTAACGTTACATATCACTGAGAACGTCTGTAATTGTTACAGTAATGGTAATCGTTTGTTCCTTCACACTTGATGAAACTGGTGATTGGAACACGCTTATTTGGCAAATCTCCTTTGACAAGAAACCCATCATTACCAGGTACAAGAAACTATGAGGCCAATTTATCCGCCGCCATCAATCCATTGTAGGGGGAACTGATTAATTAGATATTTTTATTCTTAAATATTTTGCCGTTGGGACTATGTACCGTGTTATTTCCCATAAGCTCCCTTCTTCCTAAACAACAATGATGATCGAAAAGAGTGTTCGGTAGGTACAAATGAAAAAGTTCAGGAATGACATACACGTTAACAAATACACGAGGCACTGGGTCCTAGTGGGTACGTGTATATTACAGTTATAAGAAACTATGATGTACCGTGCTGTCCCGTGTCGCTGTCACCTGCGTGGGCCATCCTCTGCCGCTTGAGGCAAACTCTCAGACACCACTCATGTACATACTCTGAAATTTGTAAAGATGCTTTGCATTCACACTTTCTATTGCTTAACTACGAGACGCCTCCATTTTCACAGCTGCTGCTGCTGTCGCCTGTCTCCATTCCAGGTGAAGGAAGCGTTGCTACTCATCCACACTTGACGTTGTACCACCAGTCACAGTGGCTCAGCGCCTGGTTGAACACTGTTCCCTTCGGACAGAGGAACGAGTCCCGCCTACCATCCTTCTGGCAGAAATGGAACACCTGAAACAAGGCCGATTAAATAAATGGTAATATGGACAAGTCTCTTAGCACGCTTGGAGACGCAAAAAGTAAGTAATATTTACGATTGAAAATACCGTAGGACAATATTTTATTCTTCTAAGTAAACAGTAAATCGTCACAACTCGATAAAGCCCAGCACCTTGTGTAACATGCCGAAAAAACTATCCCTGTAACAGGCCTTGAAGGCCCATAGGCTTGTGAGACGTCGAGGCTCCCACATTTTGTCTAGACGATCGGTTCACAGATGGCAGTGAGGTTGTCAGCCTTACACACGGTCGCCTTTTACCTCCCAGGAAGATTCCTGGTATTCATTTCTGTTAGATGTTGAGTCGACCCCAGAGCCACAGTGTGGCTGGAAGGATTAGGTCTATTGAAATTTCCACCTCATCGGAACCCGAAACCGCGACCTTCCGTCTTGTAACACAGTGCTTCAACCAACTACGCTACGGCGTGACCCTCGTAACATGTCGAAATATGATGGATCTTAAGGCCAGCAGTACTGATGTTCCAATCCACCCTCAAGACAGAGGACCACCTCTCGTCGGGTATCCCCGGTTTCCTATTCTCTGTATTCGCAGTCGGCCTTCGTATCGGTTTTCTAAGGAGCCGTAACCATGTCAATAGTGCCAGGAGATCCACTTACCATGAAAGTGAAATAAAATATTCGTGAAAATGTTAAACTATATCTTAGAAGAGTATTATACAAAATGTGTCAGGAGGAAAGGTCAATATTCTGGGAGGTCACAGTATCGATCATTATAAGCGAAAAAAATTGTATATACAGGATGTCCCAGGAGGAATGGACCAAATTTCGGGAAGGTGTTCCTTATGTTAAAGTATGCCGATATAACCCAAAACACCTATGTCCAAAGTTGAACGGTTACGGAGATAATGGCCCGAGAAAAGTGTGGTCTTCTAGCAGGTCCACGCACTATACCTGTCAGCTGTGACTGTTATCTGTTTGTCCTTGAGTGTCTGATTCACACTAGCTGTAAACTTATGCGATACGTACAGAGCCTACAGTGTATGTTGCTTCAGCGTAGTGAATGGTTAGTAAATTACGTGTAGTTGTGCGGTGTTGCTGAAATGCCTTTTGTGTTTTCACACGTTGAGTATTGTGATAGGCATTTTGTGTATGGATTTTGCGGTGGCAATGCACGTGCTGCTGTTGAAGAGCACCAAAGGCGTTTTCCCGATCGAAGGATTCCATCTCGACGTGTATTTACGCGAATTCACCAGACATTGCGTGAGACTGGTTCTCTTCCGAGTGTTTCTGTGCAGTCGGAAAGGGAGGATGTACAAATGAGAAACATACGAGAGAACGTTCTTGAGATGGTTGAGATAAGTCCGCGTCTGTCCACTCGTAGAATGGCCTCTCGCATCGGAGTATCACGTATGCATGTGTGGCGAACTTCACATTATGAAGAGCTGTATCCTTACCATGATCAAACGGTACAACATCTGGAACCAGGCGA